CAGGTTCACAGCATTGAGGGGAAGGTACAGAGACTTCCTCTATAGCTCCCACCCCCACACATGCATAGTATCGCCCCATTTTCAACATCTCCCATGAGAGTGGTACATTTGTTATAATTGACGAACCTACACTAACACGTTATCACCCGAAGTCCATAGTTTACATTATGGTTCACTCCTGGTGTGCATTTTATGGGTTTGGACAAGTGTATAATGACATGTACCCGCCAGTAAGTATCATACAGAGTATTCTTTGCCCTAAAACTCCTCTGTGCTCCTATTCGTCCCATCTCCCCACCCCCAATCCCTGACAACCACTGATCTTTTTACTATCTCCATAGTGTTGCCTTTTCCAGAATGTCATATAGTTGGAATCACACAGTATGCAGTCTTTTTTTTTTTAATTTTTAAAATGCATTTATTTATTGGCTGCATTGGGTCTTCGTTGCTGAGCGGGCTTTCTCTAGTTGCGGCGAGCAGGGGCTGCTCTTCATTGTGGTGCGCGGGCTTCTCATTGTGGTGGCTTTTCTTGTTGCGGAGCATGGGCTCTGGGTGCGTGCGCTCCAGTAGTTGTGTCACGCAGGCTCAGTAGTTGTGGCGCACGGGCTTAGTTGCTCCGTGGCATGTGGGATCTTCCCTGACCAGGGCTCGAACTCGTGTCCCCTGAACTGGCAGGCGGATTCTTAACCACTGCACCACCAGGTAAGTCCCAGTATGCAGTCTTTTCAGATTTATTTTTTTCACTTAGTAATGTGTTTAAGATTCCACCATGTCTTTTCATAGCTTGATAGCTCACTTCTTTTTAGCGTTGAATAATAGCCCATTGTCTGAATGTGCCACAGCTTATTTAACCATTCACCCATTGAAGGACATTTTGGTTGCTTCTAAGTTCTGGCAGTTCTACATAAAACTGCTGTAGACATCCATGTGCAGGTTTTGTGTGGACATAAATTTTCAACTCCTTTGGGGGTTTAAAGGGAGTGATTACTGGTTTGTATGGTAAGAGTATATCTACTTTTGTAAAAAAAAATACCAAATTGTCTTCCACAGTGGCTGTACCATTTTGCATTCCCACCAGCAATGCATGAGAGTTCCCACTGCTCCACATTCTCATCAGCATTTGATGTTGTCAGTGTTCTGGATTTGGAGCATTCTAATAGATGTGCAGTGGTATGTCATTTTTGTTTTAATTTGCATTTCCCTGATGACATATGATGTGGAGCATCTTTTCATATGCTTATTTGCTGTCTGTGTCTTTCTTGGTGAGATGTCTGTTAAGGTCTTTGACCCATTTTTTAAAACTCGGGTTGTTTTCTTATTTTTGAGTTTTAAGAGTTCTTTGTATATTTTGGATAACAGCCCTTTATCAGATGGGTCTTTTGCAAATATTTTCCCTCTGTCTGTGGCCTATCTTCTCATTCCCTTGACACTGTCTTTCACAGAGCAGTTTTTCATTTCAGTGAAATCCGGTTTATCAATTATTTATTTCATGGATCATACCTTTGTTGTTGCATCTAAAAAGTCATCATTGGACTTCCCTGGTGGCACAGTGGTTAAGAACCCGCCTGCCAATGCAGGGGACACACAGTTCGAGCCCTGGTCCGGGAAGATCCCACACGCCATACAGCAACTAAGCCCGTGCGCCACAACTACTGAGCCTGCGCTCTAGAAGCCTGCAAGCCACACCTACTGAGCCCACGTGCCACAACTACTGAAGCCCACGCACCTGGAGCCAGTGCTCCACAACAAGAGAAGCCACCGCAAGGAGAAGGCTGCGAACCGCAACAAAGAGTAGCCCCTGCTCACTGCAACTAGAGAAAGCCTGCACACAGCAACGAAGACCCAACACAGCCAAAAATAAATAAATAAATTTATTTTTTAAAAAAAGCCCGAGCACCGCAACGAAGAGTAGCCCCCACTCGCCACAACTAGAGAAAGCGTGTGCACAGCAACGAAGACCCAACGCAGCCAAAAAAAAAAAAAAAAGTCATCATTGCCACATACAAGGTCATCTAGATTTTCTCCTGTGTTATCTTCCAGGAATTTTATAGTTTTGTGCTTTATATTTAAGTGTGTGATCCATTTTGAGTTAATTTTTGTGAATGGTATAAGATCTGTGTCTAGATTAAATTTTTGCATGTGGATGTCCAGTCGTTCCAGCGCCATTTGTTGAAAAGACTACCTTTGTTCTATTGTATCGCCTTTGCTCCTTTGTCAAAGATCAGTAGACTATATTTACGTGGGTCTATTTGGGCTCTCTATTCTGTTCCATTGATCTGTCTATTCTTTTACCAATACCACACTGTCTTGATTACTGCAGCTTTATAGTAAGGCTTGAAGTCTGGTAATGTCAGTCTTGCAACTTGGTTCTCCTTCAACATTGTTTTGGCTATTCTGATCTTTTGCCTCTCTACAAATTTTAGAATCAGCTTGTTGATATCCACAAAGTAACTTGCTGGGATTTTGATTGGATTGCATTGAATCTATAGATCAAGTTGGGAAGAACTGACATCTTGACAATATCGAGTCTTCATTATTCACTTTTCATTCAACCAAAATTTCATTTGCCTAATGGAACAATCTCTTCTTCACAGGGTTTTTTGAAATGGTTTTCATATATTAATTATCTAGAGATACTGTGAATGCTGTGACAATGTACCTGCTCTCAAGGAGTTTTTTAGTGGGAAGGGGGCAGACAATAAACAAACAGACAAATAAATCAATAACTTCAGGTAAGGGTTGTGAAAAAGGCATATGATAAAGAGTGACAGGCAGTGAAAGGGCTATTTAATGTCAGGGAACTTCTCTGAGGAGGCAACATTTGAACTAAGACCTTCATGAAACAGGAGAGCTGGCCATGAGAAAAAATTTTATTTTTATTATTATTATTTTGGGGGATCTGAGTTCCCCAACCAGGGGCTGAACCCAGGCCCACGCAGTGAAAACGTTGAGTTTTAACCACTGGACCGCCAGGGAATTCCAAGAAAAGTTTTTAGACGGAGGGAACAATGGAAATGAAGGCTCTGGAAGCAGAAGTGAATTGGATGGATGGTTTGGAGAAGGGCATGGTGGCTATAGTATAGTGAACAAGGGGTAAATGAGGTTAAAAAAAATAGACAGGGATCATATCCTGTAGGGTTATTTTATTGAAAAAAATTAAGTATAAACTACATGTTGTGAGATACATAAAGTGTACAAATTTTACGTGCACATTTCAGTGAATGTTTACCTCTGTATACACCCCTGGATGTGGCCTCATCCAGATCAAGATATAGAACAGGCGTCAGCAAACTTTTTATTGTAAGATGCCAGATAGAAAATAGTTTAGGCTTTGTGGGCTATGGTCTCTGCTGCAACTACTCAGCTCTGCTACAATAGCAGGAAAGCAGCCATAGTTGCTATGTAATGAAGAGGCATGGTCAGATTCCCATAAACCTTTAGTTGCGGACACTGAAATTTGAATTACTTGTAATTTTAACGTATCACAAAATATTTTTTCTTCTTTTGATTTTTTCCTCAACCATTTGAAAATGTAAAAACCATTCTTAGCTTGCCAGCTGTACAGAAACAGGTGGTGGGCAAGACTTGCCCTTTGGGCCATAGTTTACCAACCTGATACATTTCTAGTATCCCCCTTGTTCATCTTTCCAGTTAAAACCTTTCTCTCCCAATGGTTATTGTTCTGATTTTTATCACCATCAATTAATTTTGTCTGCTCTTGAACTTTATATAATTGGAATCATATGCATTTACTCTCATGTCTGGCTTCTTCAGCTCAACATAATGTCTGTCCTATGGGAATTTTAAACCATAATACATCATTTTCATTTAAGAGAACTAAGATGATCTTAAGGGTGAGAGCATCATGATCTGATTTATATGAAAAGGTCACTCTGGTTGCTGTGTGGAGAATGGAGTAAAGGGAAACAGGAGTGGAAGTGGGAGGCCCAGTCAGGAGTAATCCAAGCCAAGAGATGATGGTGGCTGGACCAGGGTTACAGTCAACGAAAATGGAAGACAGACTTTAGACTTATCTTGAGTTTGAGCTCACATATCCAATACGTTATTTCTGTGTTTCATAAGGTGTGATAATACTAGTAAATTTCCTGAATAATCTTTCTGAGACTGGCATAGTGAATTGTCAGGTGTAAACCATGTCTTTACCCTCAAGGGGTTAACAACAGTTTTGGGCATGGGGTGGACACACCATGAATCCAGATACAATGCAATCAGTTCTTTATGAAGCCCAGGAGGCTATGGGAGCCAGAAAGGTAGTCGAGAGATCATCTGGGGGTTGTGGCCCTTGAGCTAAATTCTGAAGGAAAAATATTAAAAAAGGATAAAAAAGTATATGGGAAGGCCAAGAAATGTGAGCTCTCTTGGGAGCTCAGTGTGGTTCTATGGAGTCTCAGAAATATGTAAGCTTGGCCTGGAAAGATTTTGAACTGGGCCGAAATGGATGGGTACTTACCCACTTTTTCAATCAAACAATCCATCCTGGATGCTTCTGTGTGCCCTGAGGCTCCAGCATAGGACAGAGGTAGCAAACTGACAGCCTGTGGCTGAATCTGATGTATTTTGCCCCTCTTTGCTTTATTTACACTACCTTCCTGGTCCTCCTAGGCTTTTGATTTTTCAACCCCTGGTCTTTGCTGTAAGAAAAACAGTACTTCAAATCAACGACACAGAGAATCAGCTCTTTGAGTAGAATGGGGAAGAGCTCAACTGAGTGGATGAAGAGGAGCTGAATTAGAGCTTTATCTGGGATTCTGTACCTGGCTCCTAGGGTGGGCTTTAGGTGGTAAATTTTGTGTTTGTATCCTTGTGACTTTGACTGCTTTGTTATGAATCTTCGTTCTGGACTCTGTCACTAGTTAATCTACGAGCCTCAAATCATTTGTAAAATGGAGCACTGCTGGGATTAAAAGAGATAATCAGTGCACAAAGTGGCCTCAATAGAAGGTATGTTATTATTATTATTTTATTTCGGGGTGAGGGTATCATATTCTCAAAGGGGTTCTTAACCTAAAAAGTTGGCTAACAGATGGCATAAGTGCTTAGGAGTTACTGGGAATACCACCCTTGTGTAAAACGAAGCAGCTCTACGTAAGTGGTCTGTCGTGGGAATACAGAGGCCCAGGTTCCACTGCTTACTTGCTGAAAGTACCTGAGAAATTGCTTCAGCTTTCTGGGTGATCTATTAAAAAAAAAAGTGGGGTGGATCGATCCGAGTTGGCAGCCGCAAAGCAGCCCCAGCGGCAGGTTCCGTGGTGGAGTGTAAAAGCTTTCCGCCGCGGATTAAGCAGCGAGCCTCCGGGAGGACTACATCTCCCAGCCTGCCTTGCGCTTCGGACAGCGCCCTACGCTAGCACGCGAACCTCTCCGCTCCCCGAACCTCCTGTTACTGTCTCTCGCGAGAGGACGGGCCGCGCCGGCGGTAGCGATAGTGAGCTGTGGTGGTGGCGGTGGTGTTGGTGGTGGCGGCCGAGACGGCGGCGGCCATTTTGGTGAGGCCTCGGAAGCGGCGGTGGCGGTTCGCTGCGAGTAGCGTCTCCCATTTTTCCCACCCACCGCCCGCATCTCTGTGCCGCGAGAGGAAGCAGTGGAAGCAAGGCGGTGACAGTAACCGCGTGCCCCAGGGGAATTTAAAGGCCGCGAAGGCGGCGGCCAAGAGGGGGCCCTCCCCCCTCCTCGGCGGGAGGGGGGGTGGTGCGCACGCCCCCGAGGACGCAGGTAAGGAGAGGGAGACAAGATGGCGGACGCCCCACAGCTCCCCCTCCCCTTACGGGTGACTGCGCGCGCATCTTTCCGCCACCGCCTCCCCTCCCACCTTCCCGGGGTGCTGCGCGCGCACCTTCGGCCGGGGCCCCGGGGCCGGTGCGCGAGGCTGTCGGCGCGCGCCCATAGCGACAGGCTGAGGGGGGCCAGGCCGGCCGGTTCTGGGCCCGGGCGCGTCTCCTCTCCCCTCCCGCCCGTCTGCGCACGCGTGCCTGAGCGAGCGAGCGAGCCCTGAGAGGACGGACCCAGGTGCGCTCCTGCCCGCCCACCAACCCCAGTCCCCCCTAAGGGGCGCGCGGGAAGAGGAAGGGGGGCGTGGGACGAGTAGTCGGGGCCCGCGCCCACCATATCCAGTCAGGAGCCAGGACCTGGCGGCACGAGCCTTTCCTTATCTCAGCCTTTCGCGGTCTGGTGGTGGGGGCTCCCTGACGGGCAGGAATGAGAGGCTTCCTAGTCCTGCGACCCTCGGGTGCGTGGACTTGGGTTCTGGCGGGAGCCCCCGGGCGGTGCGCGCAGCCGGCTCTCTCCGCCTCCAGGCGCGCACGCGCGGGCCCCTCCCCCAGTCGCGCACGTTGGGTGGGGTGGGAGTCTAGGAGGGGGCGGGGCTGTCTTAGGGCTAGTGGCAAGTTGGGGCAGAGGTCAGGGGTCACGCTGGGTCAGTCTGTGGGGACGGGTTGGGAGGCGGTAATGAAGCCGGGGGTCGAGAGTTCAAGCTTCTTGGATTCTGGTTAGCTCGATTCCAGTGACTCTGTTGTGGAAGGTGGAGTGAATCGAAGGCTGCACTGTGGTTAAAGAATTTCCTTAAACACTGGGGAAACACTTCCGGGCCTTGTGTGGGTTTACCCTGCCTATTTCCGGGGTATGGTTCTTTGCTGTTCGGGCTTCTTTACCTCTGCTCCTCTAAGGTCTCCTGCTCTAGTTCTGCTGTTTTGGGAAGTGTCATATGGCGCAGGTATAGGAGTCGCAGGGCCTGCCCTGAGGAAGGGTGGATCCTCCTACGTTTAGCCCTCACTGGAAAGGAGAGCCGGCTGCCAGGCAGCCAGCACCTTCTGAGCTTCTGGATGTGACAGCTTTTTTGGCTTTGTTAATTTGTCCTCCATTCAGAAGTTGGAGCCTTTTACCCTTAAGCTTTTTAAACTTGTTTGGGGGGCTTCACTTCCCTGCTGCTTCTCCTCAGCCAGAATCTCATGTTACTAGGGAATTCTGTTTTCACAAAACATGGTTTGTTTTTATTTTTCTGAAATGTGATTTTTTTTTTTTTTTTTACTACTGTAATTCTCTTCCGCCTTTGAACTGATTTGGGTATATTTAAAAGCCTCAAAAGTTGGTGTAAAGAAGGCTTTGATGGGTGTTGGTAAATGTGGATTAGTTCCTCACTGCTGTTTCCTTCCTTTTTGTTTCAGGCGTGATTCCCCTCAGTACGGCGGCACCGTGGAAGTACAGACTTTCACAGGGGGTGTGGTCTCAGCTCACACAGGTGAGGGCTCATATACCATTTCATGTGCTGATGCTAATGGGAAAGATGTTTGAAATAATGATTGTGGTGCAATAACAGATCTGGGACTATGGAGAGAGAAAGATCTGATGACCCTGACTTTACCAAGGAGAGTAGCACGTTCTCTTGGTTTTGGCATCAGACTGTCTAGGTTTGTCCTCCTCGTCCTCCTTCCTTACTGTGACCTTATGCAAGTCTTTTGGTCTCTTTGTATTCTGATTTCCTAATTTATAAAACAGAGGAAATATTAGAATGTAAGCTACGTTTATGTCAGCGGTCTTTTCTGCGTAGCTCTGTGTTTGGTATGTAGAAGGAGCTAAGTAAGCATTTATCATAGCATGAAAAGTATCTGGTTTATAAGGTAGATGTGAGGATTATAGAACACATCAAGTAAGTACTCAGTAAAGTATTTGACACATAGTAGATGCTCAAGAAACGTAAGCTATAATCACTGTGTTTGGTTATCTTTATTTGTTAGTGTTATCCCTGTTTTTTAAGAAGATTCTTTAATCTTTCTAAATCCCATTTCTACTCTTTTTTACCCTACTGTAGGTGCTCCAGAGGCCGGTGAACCTGAGTGGAGGCTGGGACGCCCTAGTGGGCCCCGGGCCCTGGAAGGCGGGTCCCGGTGGCCAGTGGCCCAGAATGAGGCCAGCTCCCAGCATGCCCTGCAGCCGGACGCCAGCCCCTCGGCCAGCAGCAGTGGTGACAACGACCCAGTCGTTCTTCAGGCATCCAAAGAGGAGCCTGGGAGTGGGACCATGCAGAGCAGCCCCTCCCCTGCTCACCCTCAGCTCCCAATCTTGCAAACACAGGTTTGAAAGTGGGGAGGGTTGCTTCTCTGCTTCTGCTTTGTGGGCTGCTGGCTTTGAGGCAGAAGAAATGTGGCAGGTCTTAGCTGTGTTTCCGTGATCCTAGCTACCTTGGTAACTGAGTTGGGAGAATCTTTGATGCTCAGGTGGGCTGTCAAGCCTGTTGGATACTCATATTCTACTTGACATTAGTGTAATGTTGATCTCTAAGAGCATGGAAATTCCTCGTTACCTGAAAAAAGTTGAATTAAGCCAGGTTGGAAATGGGGTTTGTGACAAAATGCTTTTAAGACTGCGTACTTTGAGAATAGCTTGGTTTCTTTTGGAACTGGGATGAGGTAAGCCTTATGGATGGTGTGTAGTATTCATTCTTTTCTCATACTGAGGGAGTGCTGGAGGTAGGAGAAGAAAATCATGACTTTTAAAAAACTGGGCAGACCTAGTTTTCCCGTACAGTAGGCTTTTGATGGTTACGGGTTTGATACTATTTTTCTGAGCAGCTGGGAAATTATGCGACATAATGTCTTTCTTCATTTAGTTGAGGTAGGAATTTGAGTGGCACACTGTGAGGCTTGTGTGCCAGAGTGAATTTCATGAGTTCCCTCACTATCCACATTTAAGTAGGACTTTGTTCTCTACTCATTATTGCTCATGCGGTACCTTGTAATAGGTGTGTATTTGAGAACAGTGACTAATCCTCCCTTTCCCCGTCTACCTCTCCAGTAAAGGAAACTACCGAGGCTGGTGATGACCATAAAGAGGTTTAGGTGATCTTGTATTTTTTGATGCTTTTTGAATTCGGTGGTAGCTCAGATTTATTCGCATGGGTGAATCTGTCATACTTGCTGTGAAAAGGAGGGAAAAACAGGGAGTTGTTTATGTGAGTGAAATCATTGAGGTTCTGAAAAGATCATTAAAATTTGAGGTCATGTGCTATAGTAGTAGTCTTGAATTTGGGAATTGTTGTAAATGTCAGGCTCTAATTCCTCTTGCATGCCAAGTGTTTACTGGAAACTTGGCTTTGCCGTCTTGAGTACCTTATTAAAACTTTATCCCAAATGTTGTGTTTATAAAAATGAGGTTGATACCTTACTCCAGAGCTTTTTATTGTGGAGATAGAATGAAGGAATGTACTTAAAACCCATGGTAGAGTGACGCTAAGCATTCATCTTATCTATCATTTCTCCCTTTTCTAGATGGTGTCGGACGGCATGACAGGCAGCAATCCTGTGTCCCCTGCCTCATCCAGTTCCCCAGCCTCTAGTGGGGCAGGTGGCATCTCCCCCCAGCATATAGCTCAAGATTCCTCTTTGGATGGACCTCCAGGGCCCCCAGATGGTGCCACAGTGCCCCTGGAGGGGCTCAGCTTACCCCAGGTTGCTGACCTGGCTAATAAGGGCCCAAAGTGGGAGAAGAGCCATGCTGAGATTGCAGAGCAGGCCAAGCATGTATGTATTGGGAAGGCCCATGAGGCTTCTTGGGAGTCTTCCTCCCTGAACTCCTATGTCCCATGGGTATTTTACATTTCTTTCCTTATCTTTGATTTACAATACAGGCTCTGCTTTGATCTTGAACAAGTTTCTTGAACTCTGAGCCTCATTTTCTTTTTTTTAAAATAGGGATGGTGTAGTAGTGAATAGGCTGTAAAAGGTTTAAGTTAAAGGAGAAAATAGACAGAAAAGTGCTTTGTAAGCTATGAGCCTCCTAAGATTTACTGGTTTCTACTTCACGTTTTTCTCCTGTAGTCTCTGTTAAACTTACCAGAGGTAAATGTCGTCTCTGGGCCAGCAACATCAGCATTACCTGGGAACTTATTAGAAATGCAAATTCTTCGTACCCTTCTGCTACCTCTACCCATTTAAAACTCCAGGCGTGGGGTCCAGCACTGTCTTAGAAAGCACTACAGATGATTCTGATGCATGCTCGAACTTGAGAGCCATTGGTCTAACATCCATGTCTGTCTTGGTGTTTCCTTGGTGACCATCAGGCCATTTAGTTCCTTGTCTCATCTGTGGCTGTTAGTTCCTTTGATTTAGTTTTTGTCAGGAGAGGACAAAAATAATGAGGGCAGTTGTCCTGAGTTTATAAGTCACCTCTGTTAAATAAAAATTTCAAGTGCTTTTCATTTTTCTTTTTATGAGATATAACCAATGTAGGAACAGTGTTATCTTTTTGCAATACTAACCACCGTTAATCTTTTTGTGTATAACTGTTCAGTATTTTCCACAAAAAAGTACATTTTAAAAGAAAAGTACATTTTTATAAAAATATTTTTTAAAAACAGAAACAGGATTATGTAAATTGGATTTTATAGCATATTTTTAAGTACGAACATATACTCTTGTGTAAGTAGAATTCTGCAGCAGTGAAGGTCCCTTCAATGTATCTAGAGTCAGTAAGGAAGCATGCTTTCCTTGTTCTCTGGGAAGCTTCCCTTGGATATGTTTTCCTAAGTTGAGCCTATATTCATAAGGTATGGAGTGTGAAAAAATGGAAAAAGCATGAAATCTGGTGTGTGGAGTCAGACCTATTTTTAATTCCCAGTACTTATCACCTCCTATCTTTGTAATCTCAAGTAAATCACTCAATCTCCCTGATCTTTTTTTTGCTCACCTGAAGAGCGTGTAATATCAACTCGTAGGATTGGTATGTGGATTCAAGACAAGCATA